AGAATATAAAATTTACCAACTCATTTGATGCCTGATAGTGGAAGAATGAAAGATTTCTTTTTCCTGGAAAAGGCTAATACACTGCTTCAAAAATCACAAACATGGATAACTGAAATGAATTTGTATACCGAGAGGTTATCTCAATGAAACTGAAGATGAGCTTTTATAAGGCAAGTAAAATCGAAGGTGAGTATAGGCATAGGAAGAACAAAATAAATGACATTATAGAACTCAGAAAGTCTATGCTGACTTTTATCATATTATTTTTAATCTACCACTACAAGTAACTAAATGGAATCATCTAGAACTCCACAGTGTGGAATGGTATAGGAGAGAAGAATGGGGGGGCTGAGAATAAATACAAAGTTTTCTGGAAGAACATGATCTCTTTTCCAAAAAAAGAAAAACATATATATGGTATTTCTTGAGCACCTATTATGTTCCAGGTACTGTGTCAATTGCTTTATATGCATGATCATCTCACTTAGCACTCATAACATCTTTGTTAGTAAATACTATTATTGCCCTACTGTAGGTGAGGAAATGGAACCAGAGAGGTAATTTGATCTAAATCAGGTCAGAGAGCAGTAAATGACAAATCCTAGACTCAACTCTAGACTAAGTCGCAAGCCCATGTATATTAAACACATAAAAACCCTCTCATGCTGATCTTAACACATTTAAATGAGTCACCGCTGCTTTTCCATAATTAGATGTGCAATGCTAGGAGTCAGAATAATTTGTTCTTTTTAAGAGTTACTTCTTTTGTTACTGCCTCAACTCTAAAAGTAAATGGTCTGTTTTAAAACTAAAGTCCTTGTTTTCCCAGATTAAAACCCTGAAAAGATCCTCAATGGAAAGTTGAGTAAATTATGGGAACTCCATACTCCAAAAATTTTAAAAGAGTAAAACGAATGAGTTCTATCCTATGGATTGCCCCAGAAGGATACGCATGATACACTGTTAGGTGAAAACAGCAACGTGCAAAGACATATGACCCCCATTTGGTATACGAACGTGCACAGGAGTATGGGAAGATGTAGTCCATACTCCTAGCAATGGTTATCTAGTTGGACAGGAAAATCTATTTTAATTTCATCATTATAGTAATGATCTACTGTAACAGGCATGGATTACTTTTATAATTAATGATGAGTATAGAATAAGTTTTTTTAATTATCTATTTCTGAATATAATCTTTCTATATGTCTGAATAACTTTCTCAGATCATCATGTTTCTAATCTTAGCTCTTTTATCCTTCCACCAACGTACCACATTTGTATTTGTTTTATACATTAGACTTCCAGTTAAGATTTCCATTGAATGAAAGATTCACTAGCAATAATAAATTTGAAAACTATTGGTCCATATCACCTGATTTAATGATAGCTACTGAATATAGGACATTCTCTCTCTATATATACTCATGAGGCTATGTGTACTACTAACATAAATAGATTCATTTTAATGAGAAATTTCAGATTGCTCTTTATTATGTTAAGAGTCATACACAAACAGTTGAAAATTAAATATGAACTAAGCATGACTGACTTAACTTGAATATCCATTGTACTGACGATACAGAGAGAAAGAATAGTAATGTGCAGCCCAAGGTTTTGGTAATGAAATCACCAGATTACTGGTGATTAAAGGAAACTTCTACCCAACAACTTAGTTTCAAAGGATTCTAATGTAGCTGAAAATTGACAGAGCTAGAAAAGTCTGAAGCAAACCTAACTACAGTTAGAAAGTGCATTATACAGAATAAGTGCAGAAGCTTTCCCTCCAGAGTCTCTTTCAGAATAACCAGGAGACGGCTTAGCTCAGACTTCTGATTAAAACCCTAACCCCAATCCCACAAAGGTCGAAGAATCATAATGATTTGTACTCCAGCTGCAATGTTACGTTACTCAACTGCATGCATTGCACTGTTTCAAATCTGGGCTGAATTTATAACTACCCTATGGTTAGCATAATTTGCAGTAAATTAAATTAAATTCAACAAACATTCACTGAGTTCTCACTAGAATTCAATGTACTTTACGGGTTTTGCAAAGCCCATAAAGGTGCACAGAGTACAAGCTCTGCTCTTCAAGAACTTACTATTTAGTGAAGAACATACATGCAAAACTCACTCTGACAGAGAGCACGATATGATAAAGACTATACATACCAGGAAGAATACAAAGTATAGGGAAAATAAGGCAGGGATCACATACACTAAATTCTAGGCTGGGCAGTGAGAAGGTTTCTGGGAAGAGGTAGCAGTTTAACTGAAGTTTGATGGTCAAATAGGATTTGTCTGTACAGTAGTAGGTCATGGGAGAGAGTCAAAGACCACATACTGTAGAGAAAGCAGTACGTGCCAATGGGTAGTAAGAGTGGAGTATGCTTCACAGACACAGAAAACAAACCTATGGCTACCAAAGGGGAAAGGCAGGAGGTAGGGATAAACTAGGAGTAGAGGATTAACAGATACAAACTACTATACAGAAAATAGATAAGCAACAGGATTTACTGCATAGCACAGGGGGCTATATTCAATATCTTGTAATAACCTATAATAGAAAGTCTGAAAAATATACACCTAGCTGGATCACTTTGCTGCACACCTGAAACTAACACAATATTGTAAATCAACTATACTTCAATTAAAAAAAAAAAAAAAAAGAGTGGAGTACGCTTACATTCCTAAAAAGAAAACAGAGATGAGGAAACAGAAAGAGGTTAGGCCCAGATCAACAATGGCCACACATGAACATGATTAAAATGTACGTTTTAGAGTCACAGATATAGAGAACAAACTAGTGGTTACCAGTCAGGAGAGGGATGGGGGAGGGGCAAGATAGGGGTAGGGATTAAGAGGGACAAACTTAGTTATAAAATAAGCTACAAGGATATATTGTACAACACAGGGAATATAGCCAATATTTTGTAATAACTATAAAAGATAATAAACTTTAAAAATTGTGAATCACTATATTGTACACCTGTAATTTATATAATATTATATATTAACTACACTTCAATAAAAACTTTTTAAAAATAAATTTTAAAAATGTATAATTTAAATCACCCAGTGGTGCATTCACGAGTAAGAAAGAGAAAGGAGTTGCTTCTAGTGGAGTTTTACAACTGTATAGCCCTTATTTTTTAATTTAATTTAAATACGACAGGATTTCTCAAGATCTGTAATTTGAAACAGATATTTTATTACATTAGATTGTATGGTCAATTTGGGGGAGAGGAGTGGTCAGTGAATTTTTTTAGTGAAATCAAGGAAAATGATGATGAATTAAGCTGCCTGGTTAGGGAATGTGGGAACAGAAAAATAATATTGTCCTGGGACAGAGGTGAAGCTAGGGAAGGGACTACACAAGGGAGATGCCCAGAAGGGCATTGTCGGATGACCTATCAACACCAATTGGAGGGTTTCAATATCTCCAATTCTCAGTCTCACAGTTTCAAGAATTTATATCTCCAAATCCAAAATTAACATATTGATGAATATTAATGATGTTAGTATTCATATTAATAAATATTTCTTTTCAACAAATCTAAGCATCCAAATATACCTCTGTTCTCATCAGAGGAAACTCTCTAGCCCTTAGCTTATTTACAGGACAGATACAACACACAATCCTGTCTACTGACTCAGCCTAGAGCTCCACGCATTCCTCTAGACGGGAGGATTGGAAACTCACTATTTCAGACGTGGCTTCATATGAAAGTCATCACCAATCAACACAGTTTGAGCTGAGGTGCTTTTAAAATATACAAATAGCTCATGCAGCTCTATGTCAAAAAACCAAACAACCCAATCAAAAAATGGGCAGAAGATCTAAATAGACATTTTTTTTTTTTTTTGTGGTTCGCGGGCCTCTCGCCCCCATGGCCTCTCCCGCCGTGGAGCACAGGCTCCGGACGCGCAGGCTCAGCGGCCATGGCCCACGGGTCCAGCCGCTCTGTGGCGTGCGGGATCCTCCCGGACCGGGGCACGAACCCGAGTCTGCCGCATGGGCAGGCGGACCCCCAACCACTGCGCAACCAGAGAAGCCCTAAATAGACATTTTTCCAAAGAAGACATACAGATTGCCAAAAAGCACATGAAAAAATGCTGAACATCACTAATCATCAGAGAAATGCAAATCAAAACTACAACGAAGTATCACCTCACACCGGTCAGAAGGGCCATCATTAAAAAGTCTACAAACAATAAATGCTGGAGAGGGTGTGGAGAAAAGGGAACCCTCCTACACTGTTGGTGGGAATGTAAGTTGGTGCAGCCACTATGGAAAACAATACGGAGGTTCCTCAGAAAACTAAAAATAGTTATCATATGACCCAGCAATCCCACTCCTTGGCATATATCTGGAGAAAAACATAATCCGAAAGGATACATGCACTCCAATGTCCACTGCAGCACTATTCATAGTAGCCAAGACATGGAAGCAACCTAAATGTCCACCAACAAAGGAATGGATAAAGAAGATGTGGTACATATATACAATGGAATATTACTCAGCCATCAAAAAGAATGAAATGCCATTTTCAGCAACATGGATAGACCCAGAGATTATCACAGTAAGTGAAGTAAGTCAGACAGAGAAAGACAAACATCATATGATATCACTCATATGTGGAATCTAATTTTTAAAAAAATGAAACAAATGAACTTATTTACAAAACAGAAACAGACTTACAGATACTGAAAACAAACTTCTGGTTACCGAAGGGGAAATGTGGGCGGGAGGGATAAATCAGGAGCTTGGGATAAACATACTCACTACTATATACAAGATAGATAACCAACAAGGACCTACTGTATAGCACAAGGAACTCTACTCAATATTCTGGGATAACCCATATGAGAAAAGAATCTAAAAAAGAATGAATATATGTGTATGTATAACTTAATCACTTTGATGTACACCTGAAACTAACACAACATTGTGAATCAACTATACTCCAGTAAAATAAAATTTAAAAAAACACCTACCATTCTAACACCATTTTCAAAGGCTTGCCGGGTGAGTGGAGCTGGTCCATCCACAGTCTTGCCATCATCATCCGGGCCCCAGCTCGCACTGTAAATGTGCACATGCTGAGGATTGAAGCTAACTGATTTTGCTTCAACCATATCCGTGACATCTCCATCCAGCATTCGAACTCCTGTAAGACAGAAAGGGGAAGTCACTCTATCAGAAGCTTCACCCAAACAGACCAAGATATATTTCAATTGTAGCATTTTTTTTTTTTTTAAGGAAAGAATAACCTTTAAATCAACACTTAAGTCAGCATATGTTCCTCAGAAAAGGTTAGTGCAAGACTTCTCTGAAGCTTTCTTGGGGGGAAAGGAAATTACATTGCATGCAGAAGAGCAACACTTCTTTAAAAACTTTTTTAGCCATTGTTCTCTTTTTCTAAGTTTCCACATTCTTTCCCTTCTCTTTATCTGTCTTAAGGGATATCTTTGTCTCTTGACAAAGGGAGCCTCAAGCAACCCATCTTCCCTAAACTGCTCTTCATTAGGTACCTTGTGCTCGTAATTGGTATAAAACATTCTAACCTCAGCAGTCTTAGAAATCTGGAAAGCCGCCAAGTTAGAGTGGTCCAATTTCCTCCATATTTAATATTATTTCCTAATCTGAAATACTGATGTGAACTTAATGTATTACTTCTTTGCCAATTTATTATAAGTCAAATAATAAATGAGAATGCCCTCTGTGTATGTTACACATCAAATAATTCTCAAAGGGTTTTGGCAATGTTTAGTCATTAATCTTCATGTAAGTATTCCCACCAGACAGATAGGAATTTATTATTAACCTTAATTTGCAAAAACAGACACTAAGATACTAAAACAAATTGTCAAATATAAAGCTTTCTTTTTATTTTACAGACATGCAATAACAACAAAACACCTAATAAGTAAACATCTTTCCTTAAGCTGGAGCTAAATACCATCACTGAGACATTGTATTATTTTAAAATTATGTCCTTATAGACCAAATTTACTCCTTAGGAAAACGTTATCTAGTAGGATTTCAACTTTCTTTGGTTACCAATAAATGAGGATTAAATAATAAAACCCTAAATCAGGCAGCTTTAGAGGCTATGTGGTTTGAGGTGGGAATTCTGGTGGAATATAAAAATATTCTTGAAGGAACCATATCTTCTTTGTGCTTTTAAAAAAATGTTTAACTTTTAACTATAAAATCACAAACACAGAAAAACAGAAAAAATGACAATGAACCCGGATACAGCCAGGACTCAACAACTGTTAACATTTTGCCACATTTTCTTCATCTAAAAATATAAATATTAGGCTAAACCATTTTAAATTACATGACAGATATGACACTCTATCCTTTAATATTTTTTCCAACAAAAGGGGGAAACAGGGCTTCCCTGGTGGCGCAGTGGTTGAGAGTCCACCTGCCGATGCAGGGGACACGGGTTCGTGCCCCGGTCCGGGAAGATCCCACATGCCGCGGAGCGGCTGGGCCCGTGAGCCATGGCCGCTGAGCCTGCGCGTCTGGAGCCTGTGCTCCGCAACGGGAGAGGCCACAACAGTGAGAGGCCCACGTACTGCAAAAAAAAAAAAAACAAAACAAAAAACAAACAAACAAAAAAAAAGGGGAGGGGGGAAACAAACACCCACTGTACCTTAAATTTCCCCAAAGCATCCCTAAAGATGTTGCATTTGGCTGCTATATCTCTTGACTATCTTTTCTTCTAGACTTGTGTATTTTTAAAGGAGATGTATAGAAACAGGTGATGTGGAGAACAAAGGTTTTGAACAAGTCCATTTAAAAATGACGGAATGTAAAGCATACTTAGAAAGCTTTTCAGCAGTTTATTTTGTGGGAAGAAAATACCCAGCAGGATGCTCTGCACATAATGGGTCCTCAGCAGCCACTGGTTTGTTTTGATTTGACATGAATGTTCAAAACTCATCTGCATGGTTTTTACCAAATAAAGATGAAATATTTCATATTCTTACTTCTATTTAAAAGCATAAAATGGAACTATTTTACCACTCAAGAAGGCCTGAAATAATCGAATCAGTATGTCTAAACACAGGAGTGTCTACACAGCACCTGAATTCAGTTTCTACACCATGAAATTTATGTGACGTCCATGAAAACATGCTTGATAAAATCATATCTAGAGTATAATATTAATTTTCTGACCAAAAATTGATAAGAATTTTATTTTCTCAAGTTTAAAAATGAAAGGTTACTTTTTCTTCATTTAACTAACTGCAAGCCTTCATGCCTTTTGTCTAGGGGTTAAATTTACAATTTAGAATGTTTTTGCTTTTAGGATGAAAGAACATTTGTCAGGCATTGCCATTCATTCATTTTTTTTAGAGGTCTTGTTTAGCTAGGTCAGCAGTTTATCTGTGAACTTCACAAGTTCATCCCTTCACTCCCTCAAGGTCAGAAGTGCTGGGTTAGTACTGAATAGTAATGATAGGGACCTGGGTGTGTGTCTGTGTATGTGAGTGTGTGTGTGTGTGTGTGTGTGTGTGTGCTGGACAGCAAGTAGGGTTGACTGGACAGCCACTGTAGTCATCCAACTATCCTGAGGAGAGCAGGGGCCTCCAGCACCCTCACTATTCTTCAGAGGATATCTGTCTCCTTTCCATAACACCTCCATGAACCTTGCCCTTGATACTCAGCAGATGCTCTCAGAGTACTGCTAATTACTGGTTAATAAGCTGCCATACTCTAGGAATCCCGGGTGAAATGAAAGAAAGAGGTCAAATTTACTGACGAATGACACAAAAGACAGTCTCAGAAAACCTTTTCTTAGCACCGTCATTATATACCCCAATTATTTCATGTTATAAGACATCTACATTAACCTTAGAAAGGACTATCATTTCTCTTTTTTAGATCCAACTCTGTTTACCATTTGGAAACAAATAGTATATTGGAAACAAGGATGTCAGCCTGGTTCCAGGAGCTTCATCTTATGAAACCCTTCAGGAGATGCTTAGAGGAACACCTTCAAAGCCAGTAGGATCTATACCATCTCTTACAATGTTTTCTTCCCATTTGTGCATGGCTGTGTCACCAGGCTATATTAAAAAGGATGATTACAAATGGGAAAGTAAGAGTTTGTTTTATTAATATCTGGATTTACACTGCTTTGGTTGGTCCTTGTAGTAAGTATATGTATATTTGAGCTTGTGTATGTGTGTGTGTGTATATATATATATCTATAACCTGCAATTATTAATGGTAATAGTATTACTATACTCTGGGACTACAAAAGGAGATTTTACTATTTACCTTTTAATTACAATTAAAAGGAACTTTTTGTAAAGCCTATGGGAAAGAAAAAAAATATTTTCTGCTTTGACAGAATTTCAAAATGCTTCTTTCCATAGAGATATTATGGCCTGGTGTTTATATCCTTAGTTCTTTCTGACCCAGGTACCAATTGTACAAGTTGGTATAGATGCTAATGACCCCATCCTCATTATTAGACAACCTTTTCTCATTTCTATTTAAAGAAAGAAATGTCTGTGTTTGCAGCGCTTTAGGGGGGCCGCTTAATAATGCAGGTTAACATAGTCATTTTGCTGTCAGCAGTAGTTGAACTCTATTATGCAAACATATGCCTGTCTTTAGTTCAGAAAAGGGTTCTGAAAACCAGTTAGGGTGAGAGCTCTTGGCTTGTTTCTGCATCCACTCGTGTCTGTTTCCCATACCTCCGATCCTGGCGTTGAAAGCAATGCCAACTGTGCAGTGAGAGTTGTTTGCTGCGGCGGCCACTTCTCCAGCACAGCGGGTCCCGTGCCTGCAGGGAGAACACACACACTTTCTAAAGGAAGACACCTCATTCTCCCAAACTCAACACATCCTCAACACCACTCAGACTTCAAAGTGGTGAAGAATGTAGCAAGCTGTAGGTGTTTCTGGAACTTCTTACCCAAGTAGCACTAAGTCTGTCCATGGCAAACTTTTACACTTACACTTACACTTAATTACATTCTGTTTTGGATTACATTCTTGTATGCTTATTTTTGATATCCTGCTTTCCCAACCAGAAAATCTCCTTGAAGGCTAAAATCAAGCTGTATGTTCCTTTGTATTCTCTGAACTTTCGATGTCCAATACGGTAAACACCAGCCACATATGGCTAATAGGTACTTGAAATATGGCTAGTATGACCACATCTTAATTTTTAATTTTAAGTAAATTTAAAAACTAGTACTCAGTTCATTTATTAGAAAATTTAAGAATGTGGGTATGAGAAACTACTTTTTAAACAGGAAATTAAAATATACATCAAGGATCTCCAAAGAAAATTCATCATCTAAGGTGCAATTGCTGTAAATACACACTGGATTTCAAAGCTCTTACGTGAAAAGACAACATAAAATAATGCATTACTAGTTATTTTATATCAATTACATGTTGATATATTGTACTTAGTAAAATATATTATCAAAACCTATTTTACCTGTTTGTGTTCACCTTTTTACTGCTTTTTTAAGATGTGGCGGCCAGAAAAGTACAAAATTTTTCTGAAAGATATTCCCTGTTATTTCTCACCACAATAACTTAGTTCTTTAATCAGAAAAATCATTTAGCTGAAAGGACTTCTAAGATCTTATCCAAGGATCGCAAAGAAGCGTCAAGTGCAAAGGACAATCTGTTTAGAAATGGTGGCCTAATACGATGTGTGCTGAGAACAATTCTAAGGCATGGCTAAGCCCACAGAAAGAAGGCAAGGACTGACGACTAATGCTTGCCCTGGACGCTGGAGGGGGACGTGACAACCACTGTGGTGTATTTATATGTTAATGAAGTCAATGCTCACCTCCCTTCCCACATTTTTAGAGATGAGGGCACTTAAGGAGGCCCTGAGATGTAAAGAGATCTGTCAAAAATAGCCCAACAGTGACTAAAACTCAGGACCCCAAATTCTGTTCTGGTACTTTTTATTTTACAGCATATTCTACACACTCATCATGGGATATAACTACTGTCTATGCAACTATAAACAAGTAGCTGCTTACAACTGATAGGTACACACCAGTTCACACGAAAGAGATACATCCTGCTTTTTCCACTTAGTAATATCATGCATCTCTTTTTATGTAAAGATTAATCTATATATCATTTAAATGGTTACTATTATTCTATATAATCTTTTATATTTATATAGAAATGGCATATACCTATATACATATACCTATATACATATACCTATATATGTGTGTGCGCATATATATATATATATATATATATATATATGCGCACACACACGCATCATAATCTTTATTTCTGGAAATTTACCCATTTTTTCACTAGTATTAATGAGGCTACAAAGAACAGTTTTGTATATACAAAATTTTATATACCTTGGGACAAATTTCTAGAAGTGGAATTACTGGATCAAAGAGTACAGAATATACTGTCACACTGTCAACAGAAGATAAAAGTAGTATAACCGAACCTCATAAAAACTGCAAGACTGATAAATAGTACTACAAAACACCAAATTTTAATTCATGACAAAAAAAAGACAGGCCATAAGCCAAGTTGAATGACAATATGAAGAATGGAGAAAATATCTGGCCGAACCCCTGTGTACGTAAACCCCTATGTATGAGTTTTCAATCTTTTTCATCCTTACCAAGCAGACTTGAAAAATATTATCTCATTGTTGCTTCCCTCTTTATCCCTTCTGATTACATCTGATGTTGTACATCTTTTCAAATATTTATTAGCTATTTCTGTTTCTTGCTTTCTGAATAACCCCTTCATGCTTTTTGCCCAAACCACTTATTGCCTTTCCATCATACCTGTTGCAAATATATTTCCAAATGCTTTATTTGGAACGTAACGATCTTATTTATGGCACTTTTAGGTTGTCACACACAGTTATTTAATTTTGATGTACTCATAATTATCTTGCCCTCTGATATTTGGTTATACACTTTAATCATCAGAAAAAATGACCTCTTTTTTAAAAAAAATATTTTTGTAAGCCCCAAGCTAAACTACTAATTTTCCTCTGAGCATAGTAATTATTTACTATGAATCTTCATTAGCCTCTTACTGCATATGACTTCATGGTGTAGGTTATTTTTATTCAAATGTCAAATGCTCTTTATGAGTCTACTGTTTTTATACTTCATTGGCTCTATTATTAATTAATGCAAGTTCTACAGGATCATAAGGACCTAGGCTTTTAATGTGGCTCTGGTTTATTCTTTGGCCCATGGGTTATTTAGAAGTATGATTTAAATTTTTCAAACATATGCAGGTGTTATGTTTTTTATATCGATCAATAACTTGATTACCTTATGATAAAAGAATATAATTTTTATGAAGCAATCATTTGAATTTTGTGAGCTCATAAAATGGTGAAGCATATGATCAACTTTTATAAATGTTCCATGTGCTTGAAAGGATGTGTATTCTCCAATTGTTCCATATAAGTCCATTATGTCAAGCTTGTTCATTATATTGTGGATTTGTTAATGTTCTTTGCAGTTCTATCAATTTTTATTGTATTTAGAAAGGAATTATCAAGCCTTTCTAGTGAAACAAACTGTTTATGAATATGTAGTAACACTGTGGTTCTTGCAATAAAAATTAAAGATATCTGGCTAATATTTAAATTATAAACCACTTGATCCTTTTAGTTTCAAATATTCTGTGTTCATATTAGTATGCCTCATAAGTAGACTATAATTATATTTTTTTGAAGCTAGGCTGTCTTTGTTTTTGACTCAAGAGTCAGTCCATTTACAGTGTCTATGTATTCATACATACATATTCATTTCTGTATTTTTTACCCTGTACTAGTTTGGATGTTATATTCTATTATTTAATGGTTATCCTAGATATTTGATAATAGATAGCTAAGATCACAAACACTAAAGTTATTAATACTTTTTTCACCTTTTCCCAAACAATGCAGACTTTAGAATGTTTTAACTGATTATCCACCCCTTGACATGATCCCCCCATAATTATAGTTATACATTGGATTTTTTAACTCTAGAAATCACCCACTACTATTCTACTTTAAACAATCAATGTTTGTTTAGATTTACATTCTTTGCTCTGTTTATTTTTGTAGCTCTTATTTCCTTCTGGGATCACTGATTTCTTTCTGAAGAACATTCTATAAATGTACCCATCGGAGAGGCTTTCGGTAGCCTCAGAAAATGACTTTATTTTACCGTTGTTCTTAAAAACTAATTTCACTGGATATAGAATCCTAGACTAACAGCACTTCAAAGATGCCATGCCGCCAATTTTTAGCTTCCATTGTTTCTGGTGAGAAATCAGCCATCTGGCAGTCTAGTTCTCTCTGGATGCTTTTCAGATGGTTGTCTTTTCTATTCTGCAGGTTCATGAAGATGTTATATGTATGTATTTTTAAACATTCTTTCTTGGAATTCCTAAACCTGTAGTTTAATATTTAAATCTTCAGAAGTCTTAGCTAGTACCTTTGTAAGCTAGTACCTTGATGCACTGCCTTTACATCATTCTATGGTTCCTCCTATCAGAATCCCCGTTAAGCATACATTAGACCTTTTCACACTGTCTTAATCTTCAATCTCACCTTCAGGCTTCCGCCATCCTTCTCTCTCTGTCTCTCTCTGTCTCTCTGTCTCTGTCTCTGTCTCTCTCTGTCTCTGTCTCTCTCTCTATCTCTCTCTCTCTCTCTCTCTCTCTCTCTCTCTCTCTCTCGGCTGTGTTCTGTGTAACCTGCTCAGTCCTATACTTCACTTATCCTATCTTCGGCCATGACCAACCTGCTATTTAGTCCATTCATTGCATTCTTCTTTTCAGTTATTTATACGTTTTACTTTTTAAAGCTCTTTTGTCAAGTCCACCCAGTTAATTTGGATAGTCAATTTTTCTTAAAAATGCTTTTCAATATTTATTTCTTGATGCATATGAATTACATATAATAATTCTAAACAGGTGAATCTAATTCTGCTATTCATTTTATCCACTGGCTTGTTTTCATGCTGATGTTTGCCCCATGGAGTTGGTGAATTGTCAAATTAGGAGATCATGTTGTCTAGGCTTTTATCTTTGTGAATTCCTTGAGGATGGTATGGAAAACTCATTGTTTTAAAGAAGATTTAAATTCACTTCTAACACATATTTTGGGCTACACCAACCAGGACCTGTTCCACCAAATTAAAAATGGGGGCCATACAAGTAATATGGATTATAGGTGCAAATTCCACAAGAGAAATTAGTTATTCTCCAAGGTAGTTATTTATTTATCGTCTTGCCCTATCTATCACCCAGGGAGAGAAAGTCAGATACATCCTCTGTCTCTCTGTGTAGGTTTTCTTTTTCTATGGTTATCGCACTGAAGATAGTACCTCAGGGGTTCCATTTTATGCAGAAAGCTTCTCTCACCCTTTGGACCAAGGCCTTGTCTCCTGCCATCCCTGGACTTTTAAAAATCCATCTCCAGTCTGGCTAGGATTGGTTGCTCACCCTGGGAAATGCCTAGTGTCCACCTGTTGCCCACGTAGTTGATAAATCTGCACTTTCTCAGAGAAATACTCTGGTAACCCATTAGCTCAACCATGCACTGAAAAGTTCTTTAATATTTTCCCATGAGTTTTAGATATACTGTGGTCGGAGAGATTTAATTGAATATCTGTTCTACCATATTACTAAAAAACAGAAATAACATGGTTCTGTACTTCTAAAATGCAGTAAAGCCTTGCACATATTATGTGCATCATTAATGTACAGTGAATGTTTGTAAGTGAAGAACAGAGTGACTATTTTGTTTATAAAAACATT